CAACAACAACAACAACAACAACAACAACAACAACAACAACAACAACACCAGCAGCAGCAGCAGCAGCAGCAACAACAACAACAACAGGGGTCCGGAGGCCATGACCCACATACCATGCTCGTGAGCTCGTGAGCTCGGGATCCCACCCTCCGTCACTGTGTCGGACGGTGGGTTCGGTGCAACAACACCCGGACGGTGGGCTCCTGGCGGAGCCTCCGTTTCGATGATGGTTGGGGTGGATTAGGGTGATCTGACTACCTTCTGAGGTGGTTGGAGCCCTAGGGATATCTTTTTGTCTGAGATGTTGGTCTGGTGATTCATGGAAATTCCCCTTACATAACATAGCCTAGCCCCTGAAAAGGCTGAACTGATAGTACTTATATTATGGTACTCATGGTGTATTATTTTGAGACAGTCTTACGACATGTTACGACTTGCTTCAAGCATTCGAGGAATGTCCACCGAGCTTTTTCGAAGTGATTGCCCAACAAATGATGTCTGAAGGCACAAAACAATTTGCAAAGCCAGTTGAAAAAAAATCAAGACGAAATCTATCAAAATTGACTCACTTTGCACCAGCATGAAGCCAGTCATAACACTCAACCCACTTGAGGATCCACATGAGGCAAAAAGCCCGTCAAAGCCAGCCGTGTGAACTTTTTAGATAGTTTTTGACGACGAACGATCACCCAAAGGTTCCAAGCACAACTCCTGCAACAAAATATGCAGACTCCGGCATCAAGCCCAGGCCCTAGGGCAGCCCAGTCCTACCTTCTCAGAAGGTGCTTAGGTCACCCTCCTGGCATCCATTCCAAACACCAGGACCAAACCTCAGGGAGGTAGTTGGCAGATTGAGAGCAAGGAGAAGCTCTCAGTCCCATCTGGTCACCTGGTTACCACCGAGCGGCCGATTCGCATGGCCAAATTTGCCAAAGTCATTCCTCGGGGCCGGAAAGGAAACACCCAACCTGACACCCAACAGCCGGGCTTAACGTACCTTAATCCAAAAGCAATCCAACAAAAACACAGCAAAACCCACAGTCAAACCATGTAAATCGTGTTTACACAGTGGTGCAGTTTCTTAAAAAAGCAGCCTGGTTGATCAGGAAACAACACGAGCTTCCTCACCGTCATCTATATATAGAGCTGATGCCCAAAGGCAAATCCACCGGTGTTTCGTCACATATCAGGGTGGCTTCATCGGGGTCACGCCCTTTTCAAACCGAGTTCGGGCGCCTCCGAATCGCCTCCGAACAGTTTTTCAAGGCACACACACACATCAAAAGCAGAAACGGATTGCTGTTAGGCTTGCACCATGGCGTGGGGTATGAATGCAAGCCGCTTCTTGTTCAGGCGTGGATGGGTCCTAATTTACCCCGCCGGCATGAATTGGCCCAAATCCACCGTGTCCTCCCCTTCGGTTTCGCCGGTTCTCACGGGGTGTGTTGTTCTTTCATCATTGAAACCCTGCCTGGAGTCTCAGTTCGTCCCTCTAAACATGCGCACAGTCGTACCTGTTTTTTGAATAGGGTCATGAGTCATGTCTCACGTTCTAGGGCACCGAATCTAACTGACTAGAGCATGTTCTTTCATTGAAGCCCTAACAATACAACTCAGCGCTTGGAAAACCGGGCGTCACCAGCTTCAATATATCGCTCTTCTTCGCCTCGTGTAGCGCGCGTTGGCGACATGGCAGGACCCTTCTGGCCAGGGGTCGTCGTACACCCCGGCGTTTCTTTCGCTGGGCAGGTGGAAAGGCGCTGTTGAGGCTACACCCCCGAGACCGCATTTCATCGCCATGGTCCGTGGTGGACACATTTTTGCATGGCCGCCCCGAGCTGTGCCATTCGAACGAACGCTCCCTCCGTTGCATGGCACGTGTGCCCGCGGCCTTATAGTTGTAGTCCTTCACTTCCATGGTACTTTGATCCTCGAAGCAATGGGCCACGTACGCGAGGTCCCTTGTACGGAAGAAGCGGAAAATGCTACTGTTCACAGCAGTGAGAGCAAGTGAAAGAGAGAAACCACGTGGTTTCTCCCCTGTTTCGCCACTGATGGGACAGGCATATTTATATCGAGACATTGGTATCTGGTATCTTACTCGATGCAAGGTACGCCCAACGGGAAGGACATCTTACTATCCCGATTCCAAAAGGATGGTCATCAGAACCAACTGGATACTCTCTCTGTTCTCCCAATGTTCTCCCTGTTCTTGGGAATCGAACTCTGTTCTGGAACTCTGCTGAGCATCATGGTAGATATTGACCACCTCCTTCTTCAATGCAGTCAGAAATAGTGCCTCATGCTCTTTGAGGTCATAGTGTGCTCCTTGACTCAGCGCGCTCCCCCGGACGCTCTGTCGGGGGCAGTTCCGGTGGTGACCTGGTCACACCTGACCTCGCAGTGGAACCCGAAACGAACCCGGGCCTGGCACAAGCAGCCTAAACGGAAGGAATCCTAAGAAAGTGATGTAGGAATTCCCTGACCCCAAATGCGACTGGAAGAATCGTTTTAAAGTTACATATCATATCATAGCATATTTTAGCATACCACCATTGATGACCCATCCAACTCTGCCACACTGGACTCCACACAACACCAGCTGGAACAGGGGGGCGGGCTTTTCGACAGACGGACCCATGAAAACAGCATTCCAGTGGATGTGACAGATCTTCTGACGTCCTGCGATGTGACGCGTCTTCTTTTTTATTGTTCCCTATGACAGACCGAACCAAAGGAGTGAAGAGCAGGGAGACAGTCTGATGTAGGCGCCACAAAAATCCCCATCACCGAACCAGGTCGGTACGGTGGCAGTGGATCCATAGGGGTTGTATGTTTGTCCAGTGCTTTTCCTTTGTTTCGCCTGTCCAATCAACCGGATGGTCCATTCTGGAGGCAAATGAACCACCCGAAACAGAACCTTGTTCGTGACTCGGTCCTTGATGAAGGATGAAATATGATGAACCAGCTACGATCACCGACAAGTAACAGTACTTTTGCAATAGAAGGTCCTTTTGTTCGGGTCTCCATGGGTTGTAACTCGGTTCTCGCGCGAACCAATTAACATCAATGAACCGCTGGGGGGCTGAACGAAGTATGACTGTTGCTCTGAGGCTTTGGCCGATGTCTAAAAAGGGTCATGTTCAATGGTTTGTCATCTGAACAACCTGAATCGACAAAAAACGGATGTTAAATCTAAAACCACAAAGAACATCGGTCAACAATCAGTGTCACTTATAGAATCAAAAGGAGTCGAAGCTTCTCCTCAACCAACGAGAACAACACATCATGGCTCCCCCCAAAAAGTCTCACCTTGGGTACAGTATATCCCATTACCCGGCCCCAGTGGATGATGATTTTCTCTGAAAGAGGTAATAGGACAAACCCTAGTCTCATCATTCAAAAGACTCTCTTACTCTCAGTGTGTCTGCTTGATGCTCTCTGGGTGGACAGCAAATTTCTATGTGACTTCAAACCCCCGTCTTTGCCTCAAATTCACCTCTCTGCACATCTCGACATCTCTATCGCTGTCCAAGGGCTATCTTGTGGCAAATCATAGTAGAGAGGTACATTCCAAATCCTCAGAAGCAACTCATCCGGTATTGAACAGAGTGATCATCAACTTTGTCATTTTGTCAATCTACCAGCCCAAAGTGGCTACTTCTGAGTACCCACTAATGTATGTGTTGCATTGCTTCAAATAGGTTCCCTATGTTCTCTCCATTACTATGGCGATTCTGGCGATTCTCATTAACCCTTGACAACTCTATTTCTATATCGAACCACACACTGAAAACCAAGTTCAGAAAAGGAATCTGGAATCTATTCAGGGGAGGCTCAACAACAGTATCAAGCAAGGATAAACATGGTTTCCTCCCCCGCAAAAAAGACACATAACTTCTTTCCTTGCAAGAGACAAATAAAGCCAGCCAGCATCTTTGAGCACCTGATAGATGCTCTCCAGCACCTGCGAGAACCGCATAAGACTGGTGAAGACAGCGCCGACGTTGAACCACCTCATATGAGGGACAGTGATTCTACCCTGGCCGTCTGTATTGACGAAAAACAAGATACTACTAGGATCATTCAGACCATCTGGGTGTCCTGTCTGGAGGTCTCAGTAGTTCAGGGTCATCGATTGGTGACCAATTGGGTGATCGCCAGGTAGTATACTCATGATCCAATGGCCTGTGGAGAAGGAACACGTTTAATATATGTTGATCTCATTTGATCCAAGAACATGCTGGCTTCCCGAGAACGATCAACTTGGTGTCTCAGTGTTCTGCGGGACACTTCGGAAATTGTTGGTGAAGCCACTGTCCACAGTTGGTTCTCCAAGAACGGGGACCGGACCTTCTTTGCTGAGCTGCCGGGGAATAGCTTTTGCATGAAGATAGCGCTCCACACAAAAAAGACTTAACGTATCCACACAAAGACTCCGGCTAATGCAGAACATGAAGCAAACTCCTGACTTTGGGTCATGGCAACAGGCCGACCCTTACCCCCCAAAAGAAGGGCACATGTCTCATTCATGAGATTCTCCAGTGTCGGACACGGAACGGATCCGCAACGCCCCTGGCCGGCCTCTGGTGTGGCAAACCAATGGAAGGCCGTTGCGACAAAGACCCCGTCCTCAGCGCCCCGGGTCAGGAGAGTCTTGGGAGCCTGGGAGTACTGTGGCACCGGCGCTACCCCAGACAAGACAAACTCTTGGGAGCAAAGCCTCGGTCAAACTCGGAGGTAAACCAGTAGCTGATAGCTGCTAAAAGAACGAGTCTTTGGGAGTCTACCAGTATCATACATCACTAACAACCATTATTATATGTATATGGAGAGTGTTTGGAGGGTTGCCTATTTCACCTTCCACACCAACTCTTCTCCCACTCATCTTTATCTTTGTTGCCCTCTTGTTGCACACAAAAAGACACCCTCATCCCACTACTCCTCAACATCCACACCAAGCCACCATCCGCTTGGCCCCGAAGCTCTGTAAGCTCTGGGCATCTCCTTCGCACACCTCCACGCGCAGGTTCGGAGGGCGCTCCGCTGCCGCGCGGCCGCGCGTGGAGAGGTTCTGCTGGAGCCGCTGGCGGAAGCCGTCGCTGGGCTCGACCGCGTGGATCACCACCTGACCGAGGTGATCTCTGCGTCGGCGGCCCGGTGTTCCGTGGTGCTGTACCAGAGACTGAGGCATAGGGAGCCGCTATCCATGGTATAGCTCCAAAGGTGTCTACCATCTACAAACAATAATGCTGGATAGTGAGCTCACCAAAATGACCAATTCACATCAAATTACTATTGCTGGCGAGGGTCAGCCCCACCATTCTATAGAGGGAGAGTGGGGTAGAGTGGGCTGTTGGTTGAAAACGAAAATAATCTTGGCCAAGAAGGTCAACCTCCCCATTTTATAGAGGGAGGTGTGGGGAAGATTTGTAGCGAGCATAGTGGAGCAAAACCGTTTTGCTTGAGTTGTGGAAGTCAGAAAACCAATTCTGTAGACATGACCAGGGCTTGGGTGGCTTGGGGTGATTCACCTTGATGTTCCCACATCTGGAACACAACATCTCAGTGGCCGGGGAGCAATTTCCTTTCATGTGAAAGTCGCAAAACTCAAAACCCTTGCAATTCTCTATGATATCCAGGGCTGTCCTCCCTCTAGGGGGGGATCATGAAACGTTTTACAAGACACGAGGACTCCCCTCATTTTATAGAGGAAATGGTCACGGGTATCTATTATCAATTTATAAACGGGTGTGGAAATCTGCCCGTGCTGTACCTGCCAGGTAAAATGGACGTGTCAATCCGATCCGCTGTAGACCGCAAGTGGCGTAAACTTTAGGGTTATTGATGGACACATGTTCTTTTCCCTAGTGCCTTCAGTTATTTGGTTCCTTTCTGTCCATGAACCAGTCAAGCTCATCAAAGTCCTCAACAACTGGCCTCCAAAACATTCGGAGAAACTCCTTACCGACTCTCAGTATATAGATAAATCCTGGCAGTTTCCATGGGTATAACATGGTATAACGCCAAACAACACGGCGTTTTTAGGTCAAGTCAAGGCCATCGTTTCATGCCTTTTCCGAAAGGGGAACCCCCCAAAACCTGGTCGCTCCGCGTCGTCGCTCCGCGTCGCTGAAGCGCCTCAGCGGTGGAAGTGTGGAGGTACTTCCTGGGCGAGGATTGATTCTCTTCTCTCTGAAGGACCTCGCCAAGTAAGGTAGACTCTTGAGGACCATAAGCCCTCCCTTTGAAGAGGATGTTCAAGTTCAAGTGGGGGGGTCTATGAATCAAGAGGAGAACCCTTAAGGTCCAAGGAAAACACCTGGCGGCCAGGACCCGCGACTCTCGTGGTTCCGTGTCCAAAGCAGCCAGGAGATCAAGCGAAGAACCGAGACGAAGAACCGGGACACATATTCAAGAAACCAAGGAAGGTCAGACGGTCAGATGGTGTTTGTGTTTCTTTTTTCCACTCCCCTCACCCTTCCGTTACACTATCATGCATGCGCTATCCCAGAAGCTTTGTGGTCGATAAGCTCCCCAGAAGCTTTGTATTCACATCCCCTTTGGCAGCCGACTGTTCTTTCAGGTCGTCCTTGCCCAAATGCTCCACTGGTGACCAAACTGCGAGTCCAAGTGACAACAGCTCCATGGTCCACTTCCCAGTGCCCGCGCCCAGGTCTAATAGCTCCAGTGGGCCACTGGGTAGCAGGTGATCCAGAAGTTGTAGCGCACACGGAGGGTAGGAGGGGCGTCCACGTTCCTGGGGACGCCGCCAGGCGTTAGAGCGTCGGTAGCGTAGGTACCGTATGTCGCTGTGTTCGAGCGCAAATGGACACGCCCCCATGCAATATTCCCGAACCGGTGAGATGGGTGCAATTACGTGTAAGATTATATATATTTCTCTTGGTTTTTCGTGCACAACCTTTTTCTCAAAATCCAACCTTTTTCTCAAACACCAGGTGACTTAGTGGCTTCTCAAATAACATGTCCACGGACAATTAAGAACTAGTCTTGCCTGAACATGCAAGATTGTCAGTCTCAGAAACAAGTGAATGTTCGATGTGTTGCTCGTCCCAACAAAAAAAACAAACTTAAAAGCGCAACTCCTCGATTCATGTCCCATGCCAAGAACTCCACCACCCCTCGAGGTCGCGAATCAAATACTTCCATGGCTCATATGCCTCTGAGGTCGCGAAGCCCTCTCGTGCGATCTGATGCACATGCCGAGCACCGCCCGCCACGGCACCCCGCGCGCGGACGCCGCCCCCGCGCCAGGTCGCACGGGTCCACGCCGAGAGCAACGGGCGCATGGCCGAGTGGCGTGCGTCTCGATGGACCGGGTGAGGCACGGGGATGCCGGAGGGCAGGTCTCTTTCGCCGAGTTCGAACACGAAGTGACTTCGTTTCGGTTCGGTGGGACTGGAGTGGGTGCCAGGGTCCAAACACCGAGGTACGACTGGAGCCCTATAGGGTTTGTTTCACATGCGCTACGGATTGGATGACGACACAGATGTCACAGATGCCGTGGATCTTCGTACCAAAAGGGTCGGTCCGGACCTGCGAGTATCTGCTCCGGTGTCTCCGGAGCCTGCTTCCTGTCGAGCTTTCCACTTCATGAGTCATCTTCTGTCGGGAGGCGAACCAATTGTTTCATGGGCTGCGGCTAATTACAACATGTCTTGAGCCCTGGGCTGGGCTTCCTGCCGAGGCGAACCAGCGGGTTGGACCGACCGACTGGACGAGCTGTTTTTGCTTCTGGGAAATAGATGCTGACATGTGTCCGCAGTGTTGAAAACCAATCCCCCGAAAACCTGAACCCAAAACCTTAGCCTTAAGGTTATCCACTGACTGGTTGAAAAAAGGGGGTCCGAAACTGCAAAACCTCCGTTCCCCAAACTCCGTGCAAGAACACAAACGTTCACCGACCCCCCAAAACCCCCCAAAAAAGTAAAACAAACCACCAGGAGTCACAAACGGGTGGTGTTTAGTCCCTAAGTGAGTGGATAATAGGCACTCCTAACCTCCATTAAGCACCCCTTTGTGACTGCTGGCAAAAGAAAGCAAACATGGCGGGAGCTGCTGTTTGTAGGACCTGAAGCCGAATCGGACGGCGTCGGACCCCCGAGGTCACAGTCTCCTGGATGGAGTGTCCGACCGACCCAAAAACAGGAGGATCCCGACGTTTTTGGACCAAGTCATCCCGACGTCCGAGGCCAGTTTCCCCTCCTGAAGACTGCCACCAAAACAGGACATGAAGAGGTCAATGGGCCACACCAATCGCCTCTAATCCTGGTGAAAAGAAGCGTCATGGTACAAAAAGTATACAAAAGTGGGAGACTGCGATGATCACCGAGCATCTTTTGCAAGCAAAGCCTGCTTAGATGCCTCCCCCAGTTCCAGAGTAGCACATTTCAAAAGCGATGCCTGCTTCTTGATCGGGTCGGAGATAGATCCCTACGACTCCGAAGAAACCTGACTGGTGTTTATTAGCGGGAATTTGGGTGGCTGGATCCAAAACCTCTCTTTGCGGGCCATCTTTATCACCGAGGAGCTGCACTTCTTTAATGTCGTGCACCGGTTCTTCTTCCACCTCGTCTCTAAAACTGCACCTGCGTCGAAGAACCGCGGGCGGAAGTGTGAAGATCGAACGAAGAAGGGAAACCACAAGGGAACTACACTCCTCAGAACTTACGAGGAAGCAAATCTCGGCGAGGACGCTGTTTACGAGGAAGTTGGTGACCATGTAAATCCCCCTGGGAATAGACCACAAACAGGTAAGCCCAATCAGCAAACGAGGAAGGCCAGAAAATGCAATGCTCACTACCGAGGAAGCCGAGGGCCCCTGCATCCCCGGGGATTGCTGGAAAATGACCAGGGAGATACACTTCCAGGTAAGCCAGGGTTGCTTTGCATTTTCATAGGTTGGGAGCTAACAAGGAAGAATACAAGCAAAATCACAACTTCTTGGTTAGGCTGCAAAGTGACTTCCTGGTTAGGTTGATTGGGACTTGCTTTAAAACACTTCCTGGTAAACCAAATGGCTGGGCGTGAATTCACAGATACCTGCTTTGATTAGAACAAACGAAGAAGCTCTCGAAGCCCTCAAGTGCAAGTCTAACGAGGAATTTAAAGAACCCCTCTCTCTCTCTCTGTCTCTCTTGATCCTGTTTAACGAGGAAGTTTACCAAACTATCACAAAAAAATGGTAGGCTTCTTTGTTTACTAGATGCTTCTGGACATTCTAGTTTTTGCACTGACAAACGAGGAAGTCGAGCAAGTCTAGCAAGTTTAGCATGTCAAACTTACGAGGAAGAAGTCATTCCCAACACAAAAATATGACATGCAGACCCTCCAGTAAAATGCCAAACGAGGAATATGATAGGAAAACTACTTCCTCGTAAGTTCTGGAGAGAGTAAGAAGGCAGAAACACCTCTTTTCGAGTTACTCTATGGTACCACTGGTATTCTTTTTTTGTGAATGTTGGACATCAAACAAATTCTTTAAGATAAGATCCACTGGCCTTCACTCTTTAATATTCGGGAAGAAATTCGATGTGCTTGCGGCGTAAAACCATCTATAATATGTACATGATGATCAATGATTCTGGGCTGTCAACCCATTCAGGGGAGTCCAAAATAGTGAGTGGAGTGTGTGTGTGTGTGTCGGGGGGAAACATATGCGAGATTCCTGGAGATTCGCTGAACAACTCCCTTATCACGTATCACAACTTCCTGCTTCCGCTTCCTGATTGACGGCATAAACCAGCTTTTGAACCCGCTCTGGAAATCACAACCACTGTCTGTCAGTTGTTCCCCCAGCACCAAAGACACTTCGTGAGGTTGGTCTTGTCTGAACAGGAGGGCCTGCCGCTGGGCCTCAACCACTAGGTTGGGCGTTTCATGTCATTGCAGGTCCTTTGTTCATACCTTCTTTCAACATCTCGGCACAGGGCCGAACACAACAGCCTCCCAAATCACCCATGCCAACATGCCAACAAAGCTTGGAAACAATCAACAACACATCCTAAAACACATCGAAGAATAGATGCACGACTCTTGCGGGTGCCAGCATCAAGGATCATTATTTGGTGAAGTCTTCAGCGGTGCGGAGGAAAGAAAGGGCACAAACCACTGAATAGCCCAGTTCACTTACTGCTTCAGAGGTTCGATGGCCCAACCACACCCCAAGAGATCCTTGAAAGGGAAGAGGGATCTTTTTTCAACGACCTTTTGGGGAAAACCACCATGGGCCGCCCGTGAGACATATTATATAATGGTGGTCTGCCTGCCCCACACTGTACCAAAACCGACCAAACGATGCTCACAGTTTGGTGATTCTGAGAGTCTTCCCTGTTCTGTTGGGACGAAGCGAACACAGTGACACCCCAAATGGGTAGATCGGGCAGTCGACAGTAGGGTCGACCGACCCCCCTTCCTCCATCGATGAAAATAGATTGAATATACGTACTAGGCGGATCAAGAATTCGGGTTGGAACACGGAAGTCTTATAGGAAAAAAAACCAACCACACAATCCCAGACACTCCATGTATGGCATATTTACCTACATTGGGGTGATTTCAGAGGGCAATGTAGGTAAATATGCCATACATGGAGTATTTGGGAATGATCAATGATACCACATACATCATCCACAACATCCAAGGCAGATGTCGTATACCATCGCGAGAAAGGCAGAGTCGATCTCGGCGAGCCGATCTGGCGTGCCGCACCTATAATTCTTCTTATCTCCCTGGCAGGGATGATGCTGGAGGTTCCAACAAATGGTCGCGGCATGTCACTGTCATTGTTTTTGGGTTCGTGACCTCGGAGTCTCTGACTTGACCCTCAAGGCACTCCAGGCCGATCGGTTCGTCAGTCCCTGATCGGTTCGTCTTGGGTCACGAGCCGAGTCGGAAGCTCGGGCCGTGGACTTGAGTCCGGAACTCCTGGAGCTGGCCTGCCACTATAGGGCACCTGACCCTACTGCACCCTGTGGGATTTGGCGTTGGGGAAAGCAACCCGGACTGGGCAGGGAGTCTACGTCGACCCATCCAGCGAGTTGGGTGCTTTTGAGTCGAAAGAAGATGCGAAAGTGGGCATCCCTTATAATCCTTATGGGAAAAAGACACTTCTGGTAAATAAACGCTCGATTATAGATCTTTTGTGGATATCAAACCCTATGACATCCCTCAGAAAACAAATCAACATGTCTCACCAACCACACACATATTGTAAGTATACTGCATTGATTGGTCCAAGTCTTATGTGAAGAGTACATGATTGGCGCCAGTGCGTTTGTACACCCACCAGTCGAACCGGAACGACCGAACCGAAACCGGTCACGCGCAGCGAACGCGCCGCTCTTTGGCAACGATACCCAAGGTGTTCAACGGAATCCGCTGGTCAAAGCGGGGTGAATCTTCGGATGTTGTAAAAAGCGCAAGCTTCTTCTTGGAACAAACCACCAAGTGAGGGATCCGGGGATCCAACCTCAACTGGGTGTCCCAAAATCTGCCCCCTGTCATCAACCATGCAGCAGGGGAATCCTGCATGTTGTTTTGGTCTCAGGAAATCTGCTGCCTGCAGTCTCTCTGCCGGGACTCCCCAGGGACGAAGAACCAACAAAGCACAAAGACCTTAGGTGCACGTGATGATGAGGGGTTTTGGAGGTCGAGATCTCTGTTTTCCGAGAAACAAACAGGTCTACCGAGGACCTCGACCCTGTTTTAAGCAGGACACCGACGCCAGCACCCCATGGAGCTCTCCCTCCCTCGAGCTCCCTTGAGCGCCTTCTTGATGGTATTTCCGTGGACATCTTTTCGCTCGTCTCTTTCGCTAGTACCTGCGAGACGCGGCAGCTCGCTCCTAGCCAAGGATCCGAGCAGCTCGTGTTTTCGTCTACAAGGGCCTATCATTCCGCCGACTTCAGCAAGGAACACAAATATATTGACAAAAGCCTATATATATATATATATTTGGTATATATATATGGACCCTCCAACAGGTGTTTCCTGGTGGCAACAGGTGCCCAAAAACCACCTGTTAGGGCCCCAAAACAGCCTGTTGGAGGGTCTTGGTATATATATTTTTTGGAAGACATATCATGGAATATCGATGGTTGGAATATCAGGGAACACAAATTGATTCCAATGATCTTCCAACCATCGAT